ATGACAGTAGTTCTGTCATGACAGCAGATGGATGTCGTGATGGATGTCACGATTTTCAGCATGACATTCACATTAAACCACTCCACAGCATTTCTTTCACCAGCTCCTGCTTGCTCCTTTAGCGATGTCATAACTATGGTAATAACATCATGTTTAACATTAGTGCAGAATCTTGTTTTACCACAATTTAGCCAATCATAGAACCATGGACAATTCTATATCATAGACCCATGGAACTAACAAACTCCCCCTTTGGCAAATTTTGGCTAAAACAACTTATCATTCAGCAGCAGTTTACACAAACTATCATGCTCCCCCTTGATAGTCACATCCAGCATGGCAGCAACAATGCTTTCCTCATACACAAACTATTATGCTCCCCCTTTATAGTTTCATCCAGCATGGCAACAACAATGCTTTTCTCCCCCTTGGTTTAGTCAAAACTTTGACACCAAATGGAGTACTTGTACATACATAAGCTCAACACAAACTATACATACAGTCATCTCACCATCTCCCAAGAAATACACAAGCTGCTTGACCTCTAATAAGGACTGCACCACTTCAGCAACTACTCACCAGACAGATACACATCTTCCCCTGTCAGCATCAACATTGCTCCCCCTAAAAGAGAGAACCCAATCACATTAAGAATTACTTCATCATCTTCACACAGGCAGCTTTACACCCCTTGATTCACAACCCATACTGGAGCAAATAGCATAGGCAGTTGCAGGATTCCTATCTGGAAGATTTCTCAGATTTAAGCTTTGACAAAAAATCTCCAAGATGTCAGAGTGAAATTCCTTCCTGATGCACAAGATCAAGGCTAATGGTGTCTTGATCTTCATCTTCACCAGTCATATAAAATACTTGGATAGAGGCCCAAATACCTGACTTGATCCATTGTTACCTAATGACAGACCCAAAAGGAATACACTGTCATGTTCACCATGAGCTTGGAGCAGTAACCCAATGTCACAACATCTTGTCTGACATTCTACCTTCTTCAAGTCCCAGATTTGTTTGAAACCACAAACAATCTTGACACATAACTGTACTATTGCAGCAACAGATCCTGGATAGAAGTATAACTTTCCCATATCAATGGTAACCAGTGCACATGAATGGAAAACATAAGACACATCTTCATGTCTTCAAGAACTCATTCTTTGTTCAACACACATGTTGACATCAGGATATCTGATCACAACCCTCAATTTTGTCAAGAGATATACACTAGCAGCTCCTTCTGTTGTCATGCAATGATGTCCTGCTTAAGACACATGACAGCACACCTCACTCACTACCTGTGAGGAGCTTCATCACAACTTAACCTGTTGTGGCTGCACACCTCACACTGCCTGTGAGGAACTTCATCACAGCTCAACCTGTGAGGAACTAGGCTACTGTTGACCCATAGTAGTGCCTGTTGTGCCAGACAGCTATGTCATTACTTTGGTAATGACATCCATGACAATAGTCCTTTCTTCAACCTCTGCTGGCTCCTGCTTGCTCTTGCTGCACTCGACCTTGATGTCAGCCTCTGCTAGCTCCTGTGGCACATAGCTCCTGCTGCATCCATGACAACAGTTATGTCATCTGCTTTTGTTAGCTCTTGCAGCACAAAGCTCCTGCTGCACCAGATGTCAACACATGACAACAGCTTTGGTAATGACATATATGTCAGCAGTTCTTTCTTTAGCCTCTGCTAGCTCAGTGATGTCATGACTTTGGTAATGCCATCTTGTTCAAAACACATGACAGTAGTATTGTCATTAACCCTTGCTAGCTCTTGCTGCACTACTACTCCTGCTATTTCTCACACATGACAGTAGTTCTGTCATGACAGCAGATGGATGTCGTGATGGATGTCACGATTTTCAGCATGACATTCACATTAAACCACTCCACAGCATTTCTTTCACCAGCTCCTGCTTGCTCCTTTAGCGATGTCATAACTATGGTAATAACATCATGCTTAACATTAGTGCAGAATCTTGTTTTACCACAATTTAGCCAATCATAGAACCATGGACAATTCTATATCATAGACCCATGGAACTAACAAACTCCCCCTTTGGCAAATTTTGGCTAAAACAACTTATCATTCAGCAGCAGTTTACACAAACTATCATGCTCCCCCTTGATAGTCACATCCAGCATGGCAGCAACAATGCTTTCCTCATACACAAACTATTATGCTCCCCCTTTATAGTTTCATCCAGCATGGCAACAACAATGCTTTTCTCCCCCTTGGTTTAGTCAAAACTTTGACACCAAATGGAGTACTTGTACATACATAAGCTCAACACAAACTGTACATACAGTCATCTCACCATCTCCCAAGAAATACACAAGCTGCTTGACCTCTAATAAGGACTGCACCACTTCAGCAGCTACTCACCAGACAGATACACATCTTCCCCTGTCAGCATCAACATTGCTCCCCCTAAAAGAGAGAACCCAATCACATTAAGAATTACTTCATCATCTTCACACAGGCAGCTTTACACCCCTTGACCCATACTGGAGCAAATAGCATAGGCAGTTGCAGGATTCCTATCTGGAAGATTTCTCAGATTTAAGCTTTGACAAAAAATCTCCAAGATGTCAGAGTGAAATTCCTTCCTGATGCACAAGATCAAGGCTAATGGTGTATTGATCTTCATCTTCACCAGTCATATAAAATACTTGGATAGAGGCCCAAATACCTGACTTGATCCATTGTTACCTAATAACAGACCCAAAAGGAATACACTGTCATGTTCACCATGAGCTTGGAGCAGTAACCCAATGTCACAACATCTTGTCTGACATTCTACCTTCTTCAAGTCCCAGATTTGTTTGAAACCACAAACAATCTTGACACATAACTGCACTATTGCAGCAACAGATCCTGGATAGAAGTATAACTCTCCCATATCAATGGTAACCAGTGCACATGAATGGAAAACATAAGACACATCTTCATGTCTTCAAGAACTCATTCTCTGTTCAACACACATGTTGAACGCATTCACTTACTGCTTGAACCACAAGCAAGTAGTACACCCATCAACCAGAAGCTCTCCCCCTATGTTAAGTTATGTTCATCATGCATCAATGGAAGTGCCAAAATGTTATCTAATAACCAATATTTTTCTAATGTCTGAGTAATACTACACGTAATATACAAATAATACAAAAATGATAATAAGGTATAAATAGGCACCCCACAGGCTATGTGTGTTGCTTGCGAGACCAATGTATAAACATCACCATCTTGGTTCACCAAACATATGAGGTTATCCATAATGACTACTATCATGTGCAGGCGTTGACCATCGTTCGCACCATGTGGAGGCGGCGACGCGTCATCAGCGAACAGTCCACCAGTGAAAGGAGATCACAACCCTCAATAATCTCCTTGGCTAACTCTGACATCAGGATATCTGAGAACTTCTTTAGCTCTACCTCCCCCCCCCCCCCCCCCCCCCCCCCCCCCCCCCCCGTAGGTGGGTGCCTTCATCGGCGATCTGTCCTAAAATAAAGTAAAAAACAACAGTTATTTTCAACGTATAAATAATAAATAAAGTCACTTAATCAAATCATATACATACCTCTCACTACCATAATTTGAATGTCACGTGATCGACATATCTAGTGAGCATAAAATAGTCACTGGGCCCTCCAGATAACTCTCCGTCTGTGTGTAAAGATGGCTCTGTCGAAGTCAGAGCAGTGACATATGTCTCAACCATAGGAGTGACATCCATATCATCTATAGCAGCCGCTTCTAGTAGTCATCTGCGGAGTAACCTCTGTAGTAGTCGAAGCCTCTATCTCAGATGGATGTGGCACCTCTGTCGTCTTAGAAGGATGTGGCACATCTAACTCCGCCACCATTTGCATAACATCCTTAACTGATGCCTGATATCTTCAACAATAGGTTCATCATCATGATCTATGGTCTATCTAGCAACAACTCTAGATCCTTTACATCGAGTATTGTGGGGTGCACGAAATTGATCGGTCACCAACAGCCTCCTGTTAGAACTGGTAATAAGTTTTAGTTTTTCCAAAAAAATTAGGTAAAATGTATGCATATTTACAGCTTTTTCAAATAATCCAGCAAAAATACATGCATTTCCACCTACTTTTTCATTAAGTGTGGTAATACGTATGCATTTTTACCATATTTTTCAAAAAAAATCAGTAAAAATGCATCCAATACAATGGGTTTTACCAAATTTTTTTAAAAAGGCGGTAAAATTGTCTGATTTCATACTAAAATTGTTATTTACGGGTCATAAAATTCAAAAAAAAAAAAATGTTGTAGAAGCTTTGGAAAATCCGATAATCTCTAGAGCTTTTTAAAAATTTGATATTTATCAATATTTTTTATGAAATAAATTATACTTCCGTTGTTCTAAAATAATTATCACATTTAAAAAATCAATAACCAATAAAAATTATTTGATAAAATTTGATATCTATCAATATTTTTTATGAAATAAATTATACTTCCTTTATTCAAAAATAATTATCACATTTAAACAAATCAATAACCAATAAAAATAATTTGATAAAATTGTAAATCTCTTTTTCGTTTATTATTTTTTCTTAATCAATATAAAAATGTCAAATATACATTTATTTTGAAAGAGGAAATAATATTATACAAGTAAAAGCAACTATATGGGGTGTCAGGTAAAACTCGTGAGTTATATAGTCCCTGCTCTCAACCCAGCAGAATTGGCTCTATTCATTTATCGGTATCAAAAATTAAATGATAAACAATTTACTTAAAGAATCTGAACTGATCCCGCTACAAATTCACTTTTCAATAAATCGTTTGTTTTCTTTATCTAACTTGAATAATGGTTTAACAAATTTTCATTTGATTTTTACAAGTCTTTGGAACGCAACAACGCGGTTTCTACCAAACTATTAACAACGAATAACAACCAGAAAAAAAAGTGAAAGATCCTTCGTTTGTTGACTATTGAAACATAGCGATGAACATCTTCACCAAGAAACCCACCGCCAGAGGTTCTTCTTCTCTCCTTAGATCGTTAATTTTCAATTACGCTTTTCAGTTATGCTTATCGATTTTGATTTTCCCTCAGAGGCTCTTCGGGAGAGTAAACGGGAAATGACAAACGCCACTAGAGGTAATCATATCATAATCAAATTAATTATTCAATCATCTCGTTGATTTTGTAACATAAACAGTTTTTGATTAGTTGATAATAATTTTGGTTTCTTTATTTTTCGTATGATTCTTTAGGTATAGAAAGGGAAATTGCATCATTACAATCGGAAGTATGTCAAACTGTTGCTTAATACTTAATTCATTATTATTATCCTTTTCATTTAATGGATTTATTGATATAAGCATTTGATGTAACTTTTGTTAGGAGAAGAAGTTAGTTGCTGAGATTAAGAGAACTGCTAAGACTGGAAATGAGGTATGATATTTGTATTTGGTCAAAATCATCAGCTATGAAGTATGGACACCGAAAACACGACACTGACACTGACACGTCGATACTGGTAATAATTTGAAAAACTGATAAATTAAACGTAATCATAACTGTTGGTGTCGGTTTCGGATACACCTTTTTTTAGAGGTGTTGGTGCTAGAGAGGTCAGTAATCATTGTCATAGGTTTACTTTTTTTTCTGTTGAGTTATGTAGACTTGAGAAGGTGTCACCTCGATCTACTATCCGCAGGTTTGAAATTCGATATTTTATTCTCAGGCAGCGACTAAAACTCTAGCTCGACAGTTGATAAGGCTCAGGCAACAGATCGGTAATCTTCAGGGTAGTCGAGCTCAGATGAGAGGCATAGCAACTCACACACAGGTGGGTTGTTGAATAATTATGTTTTATTTTGTGTTTGAGATGGTGTACTTGCTCTTTGATCCTTGTCTTAGCTATGGTTGCTTGTTATTTTTGTGCAGGCAATGCATGCCAATTCTTCTGTTGCCGTTGGCATTCAAGGTGCTACCAAGGCAATGGCAGCTATGAATAAGGTATGATGTATGGTCTAACATTCTAAATATATTTCATCTCTGTTTTTCATAATATAAGGTGTGGGCCTATTGCACAAAATTTCCATAAAATGGAGTCTAGATCAGAGGGTAAATTTATGCAGCCTTACCTCGACAAGCAAAGAAGTTGTTTCTAGGATTTAAACATGTGAATCTAGGTCGCAAGGCAGCAATGTTATCATTGTACCAGGGCTCTCGCCCTCATGTTCATTCATAATATGATAATATATTGTTCCAAAATTTGATTGGGGTATGATAGCAAAGTTTTGTTCGGTTTTAACTTTAAAAAATTACAAAATGAAAAGAAAATTCCTTTTTTTCTGGGGGTGGGGGCAGAGTTTTGATGAATTTTGAGGCATTTCTACTGAGTGTTGGACATTTGGTTTTTATTTATGGAAATGTGTACGAGTTTGTGAGTTTGATGGAATGCAGCAATGCACAGAAGATATTTAAGGGTTTATATGGATATTATCAAGTTGTTCATTGGCTAAACATTATGGAAGTTATTCCTTCCCTCTTTCTTCGGTCACAGAAAGGGAATTTAGAAAGAAGAAAAAATGTATGGTGTGAAGTATCTAATGTCAAGGAGAATTTAAAAGGAAAAAACTATCAGGAAACTAGCCTTGATTAATAGCACTTCTTAAACTTCCTAACCCTAAGTTAAATAAAACACTGATATAGGAGTCCATAAATAATTTCTTTACCATTTTTTAGTGTTTTTACCGTTTTCTAAATTGTTGGGTTCATTGCAGCAAATGGAACCAGCAAAGCAAGCCAAAGTTATGCAGGAATTCCAGAAACAATCAGCACAGATGGATATGACTGTAAGATGTTGCTTTTGTTTTATGAATTCTACAAGTTGGAGAAAAACAAGAGAACGTTGTTTTCATTTGAACAGATTTTGGACTTCAATGGTATATGATTTTCTGTGCAGACTGAAATGATGTCAGATGTCATAGATGATGCCTTGGATGATGATGAAGCCGAAGAGGAGACTGAAGAGCTTACAAATCAGGTACACTTTCAATTACCTTTTATTGCAATATTTTTGGAAAAATTTATGTTGCTCTATTTACAGGACTCCCTTGATTAATTTTTCAAATAATTAAAAGGACGTGCAGTATACAATAAGGACTAACATGTATGTATATCTTGTGTTATAATCCTTGAGGATTAGCGGAATCATAGGTCCTATCCTATTAATTATCCTAACTTCAATAATAACTATAGTGAGAAAGTCAAAAATCAAAACAACTACTACCAAACCAGTTAAGAAATGTGGTTGGGTCTAACTCATCCCTACAAAATCGGCTTGTAAAGTGAAGATTTCTCCTGCTTATAACACATGTTCAGGCCATATATTGTTCTATGTGGAACTCTTAACACACCCCTTCAAGTCCTGGGCTGCACGTCTCGAACGTGAAAATGAACGATGGATGTCCCGATAGCGGAAAACTAATAGTAGATTGTCAAATGGATTTTAAACAAGGCTCTGATACCATGTTAAGAGTTGTAGTTGAGCCTAACTCATCCCTACAAAATCGGCTTGTAGGGTGAAGATTGTCCCTACTTATAAGTACATGTTCAATGTTCAGGTCATATATTGTCCCCACTTATCCTACTAGGTGAAGTTATTTATAGTGTATTTGGATTGGTTTATTTGAGTTTAGCTATTGACATAATAGCTTGAAGGCAGCTCATGATATGTCCATAAGCTTTTTAGGATAACTTCAGAAAATAACTTATAACTTATATGAATCGCATTTGGCTTTATGATAACTTTTGTTATAGAAATAGCTTATGCATAAGTACTTATATGATAAATGTTTATGATATGAACGGCTTGATTAAGTTGTTTATTCAAACATAGCTTTATAACAGTTACATGGGCCATGCCATTGGGTTATCCACAATCTGTTGGAGATAATTTAGGAAGCAATCAGTGAAAAGCTTAGTTTCCCTTGTAACCCTCTAATATAAATACAATATCAAGAGAAAGGTCTGTGGCTTTTTTACCATCATGATTCCTTATAAAGACCTGAAACTACTTTTGAAATTCAAAATGCCGTGATTTCTTATGGCTTTGTGATAGTTTACAAGGTTTAATGAAAGATTTCTGATTCATAAATGAGTAACATTAGCTTTTGAGTGCAGAGATCTCAGACCTTACTATTTGAGGGTAGCATTAGCTTTTGAAATTACAAAAAAATAAAATAATACTTGTAGTAATTTCACTTGCCCTTTTCTTGGCAGGTGCTTGATGAAATCGGTGTGGACGTTGCCTCGCAGGTAATAATGAGCTGCTATTAATCTCTGCACTCGTATCATTTGGCATTTTGCACACCCCTATTTGTCAGTGCTTTTGTTCAAGCTAATTTTTGTTGTATTTGAACTCTTTGGCAGTTATCAGCAGCTCCCAAAGGGAGAGTCGCAACAAAGAATACTGAAAATGTCGGCAGGTATGTTTTGTGTAACTCTTTCGCTTTTCTCTAAAAACAAAAAGAAAAATGAAGGGAAAGTGATTTTTCTAAAATCTGTGTAATTTGCAACTCATAAGAATTTGGCTGATTATGTATGTTAATAAATAAACCAGATTTCTTAATTGGTTAGCATTCTCTGCAAGTATTAATGGTCTTTGAAATATGATGTTGATGCAGCTCGGGCATTGATGACCTTGAGAAACGTTTGGCAGCTCTAAGAAACCCGTAATTTTGACTGTGGTTATATTTTTCACGATCTCGAAGATTCAAACTAGAATTATTTCCTTAAGTTTTACGTGTATATACTAAACTATGTACGACTTGAAATTGCTATGTAAATGAGGGAGGGCCAAGTCAATTTGTTATGGCATTGCCTAAATTATGCAAGGGGAGAACAATAGTAGATTGAACATAATAAATCCAAGATATATCACTATTTATCATTTTTTTTTTTAATCTTCTATTTTCATCTACTTTTTCTTCTACAAAGAACTTGAACCCGGACTTTATTGTGTTTTTTATACTCTGGCGATCATTGTTCATGTAAACCTTGTATTATCAGGACGCAGGAATTGCTTTTAGAAAACTAACCCATAAATAAATTATAAGCAATTCCTGTTATATAAATGAAAGCATAGGACACTCGTAGCTTAAATTTGATCTCTGTTATATAAAATATAAATTTTAATTAATTAATTTAGCATATGATTGGACGAGTGTTTGTAGCTTTAGCATAAATACTACTTTTAAAGTAAATTTTAATCAAAGCAATCTTGGATTCTTTTTCCACAAAAATAATGTGAAAAAAAAAAATTTGGGACAAAATCAAAATGAAATCTTAATTCATACAAAAAAAAAACCAATTTTAATTAAAGAAATTAAAAATAATTTTTCAACCGTTGACACGTTTATGCAATATTAACAAACCTTATTTAAAGCTTATTATGACAGCGAATTCAAATAGTTTGGTTAAAATATGTAATGAAGTCATTATTTTAAAAAAAATACATAATTTAATATTTGAATATTTTATATTTAAATATTATTTAATAAATATTATCTGGACACAAAAAGATTTATATTAATAACTATCTGGCCTATAAATTTATATTAATTATATTAGTTATTTATTTAATTAAAAATAATAATTAATTAAGTAGTCAAATAAAATTAAAAAATTAAATTTTTATTTGAAAATTAGTTAAAAATAAATTCAAATATGAGTAGATTTTACGTTGTTTCATTTTTAAAAATAAAAATCTTAATCGACAATCACTTTATATAAGATATGTTATTTAATATATGGTAGCAAACAAATTATATAATTAAAAAAAGATTAAAATTTCTGTTGAGGAAGATTCATTAGATAAATAAGTATCAAGAATTTGTCCCTATGCTTTTGTCTTTTAAATCAATATCGTCGTCATAGGTACATATATATTTATAATCTCATCTCTAATAGACTATCATGATCCTCTAATTTTATATATATATATATATATATATATATATATATATATATATATATATAAAGTATCATTGATATTTGTATAGAGCATGTTTTGTATAATTAATTGTTATTGAATTAACCTGGGATGATAAACTAGCATTACCATCTCATAAAAAGCTTGTAAAAAAATGGGGTAGTGCGGGACGGTGAGAATAATGGCCTAAATTCTTAATTCGTCGTACAATAAATGCACGCGAGGCGAGCCCGCGGACACTATATCTATTAAGTCTTAAAATGCATAAAATCATATTAATGTCTGCACCCGTAAAAGCCCGCAAAAAATAAGGTGGTGCGAGGTGGGCACATTAGAAGGTGAGTACTTGAACTCTTGGCCTTCTTGCATTAAAGTGTAGATAAAATAGACATGTCCAACGGATCGTACTCATTTTGGCACCCTTAAATTAATCTCCTACAAGTAGTATTAAAGTCATATGACAGATAGTTGCACACTATTGACGGTAATATATAGTTGCATCTTTTAGTGTTTATGTATCATTTTCATAACATTTGTGTTACACCATTAAAAATAACTCATGTAGCATTTTTAGGTTTGGATCCTCTAGCACTTTTCACGCATATTCGGATAGTCATATGTTTTGACCTACATTGAGGATATGCCATGTGTTTTTGCATTCATCTCGCTCATAAGGAATCGGGCGACAGAGCCCTTTTGAGTGTATCTTGACTGCTTAGTAGCAAAAGATGTACACTTTTAGACATACACAGATCACTGTCAGACACCTACACTGGACAACATAGTCTTCTACTTATGATGGTTGGATTGTAGATCACGTCCGATGTTTCCACACCTGACTGAGTGCGTCATGCGGCAATTTGACTACATGCAGTTTGTTTTCAAAGACCTTTTCAGGTCTGCTCCTCCTGATATGGCATACAGAGATGTGGATGTCATGTATGATGATTATCTTAATCATCTAGTACCGAACTCGGCACATGGTACCATAATCTTCTAACGAATAAAATGTTGCACATGGCTACATTCAGTAGTTTTCATAGTGTCACATCCTTATATGGTAACAAATGCTCCAAGAGATCCACCTAGGTCGTCTCATCAGGAGACATTAGAAGAAGAGCAACCTAGGGCATATCATGTTGATGATTTGTTGCCTAGATGTTATCGTGTCATGGAGTTCGGATAGGCGGATATAGACAATGGACTCTTTTCGGATGAATCTGAGACGATGGATGTTATATATGCCATCATGGAAGAGATACAGACGGTAGTGCAGTACAAAAGGCAACATAGAAACATGGTGGCCCGGGTCCAGCATACTCAGTTGGTTATAGTATTTGTATTATGAGCACTATTATCATTTTTACTTTGTTTTGATTTCATTATGTATTCCAGATTTAGTCATTTATATATGATATTTTTATGTTATTTGATAAGTGAATGATTTAATTTATATAATTGAATATGATAGTATAGCTATGATGCATCGTCAATTACATCAGTGTATCTCTAAAACAATGGCAAAAATTATTCTATGCTATGAATACAAAAATATATCTCTCAATTATGTCTAGTGTGAATACAGAGATGCATCTTCAGATTAATTTATGTCAAAATGAATATGTTTCAATTAAAAATGCATAGAATGTGCAAGGCTAAACTCGAATATGCATCTCCAAACTAAATTTTAACAAATATAAAATGTGAGACTCACTTAGATTAATTTATGTCAAAATGAATATGTTTCAATTAAAAATGCATAGAATGTGCAAGGCTAAACTCGAATATGCATCTCCGAACTAAATTTTAACAAATATAAAATGTGAGACTCACTTAAAACATGTTTGGCTGTAAAAATTATGCATCCAAAATACATTTTCAAAATTCTAAAGTATATCTTCGAATCTTCATTAGGTGCTTTTCAACCAAGCAATTCGTCCTCCTAACTATAAAGACGTTGAATTGTTGGTAAGGTTTGATGCTCACTTGGTGTGGCGAATGAAATGGGAGGTAGATTTTCATTTTTAATTTTTATTAAATTCACAATTTGGTTTTTAATCATGGATCATTATTATACTAAATATTTCATTTAGTGATTAACGTATATTTGATGCAGACATAAATCATGCACCATTTTAAAGGTATCAAGAGTCAAGACTTTGATGAGATAAACAACTAGATCGATGAGACACATTCATCGTAGAAATTATCGAGTTAGACTACAATATCTATACATAGTTTTGTTAGACACTACAATAGTTATGTCTGTATAAACTATTAAGGTTAGTTTGGTTCGTCCCAAGCCAGTTGAAATAATAGTATGATTAAACCTTACAAGAAAAATCACATCATCTAACAAAGTATAATAATGTAACTAATCTATAATCTTATATCTATTTAATTTTTATTTTTAATTTATCTTTGATTTTAGTTTTTCAAATTTCTCTTTAATCCCTATTGATATTAGTTATGCTATTCTGATACTTGAGCTAATAAATGTTAAGATCTCAAGCTGGATGAAATAAATGTTAACAACCATGGAGCATGGATGAAAAAGAAGAACAATGGAAGATCTCAATCTGCTCATGTAGTCCAAGATCAAATTCCACTCTCGTACAAAAAAAAACAACAATAACAATTGCATCATAAACTACAACTCAGGTTTCATCTGCTTTTCTAAACACAAAAGAAAACACAGCAACGTTCTCTACTAAAGCATGTTTTTAGGAAGAAATTAAGTCCAACTTGGTCCGGAAAATGATATCAGGAATGAAGTTGATTATATGACCTCATGTTAATTCAGTAATATACACGAACATGACTCCATCATATTTGATATCTTTCCCGAATAAACAGCAGCAACAGGCGCGTTAGAATTTCGAAGATGTTTATGTTTTCTGATAAAAGGATACTGAATTTGTTTACTTCCTGATAGAGAGGAGTTCAAAACTCCGCAGAGGATCATCGCGGTTGCCTCTAGTAGATCCTGGTCGTGTATAGGTTGGTTGTTTGGTCTCGTACATAGGTTGAACTCTATGTGCGGTTGATGGACGGCTACCAGATGAGGTCAGACGGCCAGTACGACTGTCAGTATGATCACCGGATGAACTTGGCTTGGATGTTGATGAGATTATAGGTCTTCTTGAACTGCTTCCATATCGGCCGGAATTGCGTCCCTTGTCTTGATCATGATGCTGAATTGACAAGGTAAGATATTAGGATAAATAATTCCAACGGAGAATCTCAAAGTAATGATTTACAAAACCTTGTTAAAAAAACATTTTGTTTACCGCATCCTTGGCCACGGCTGCTACATCCTCAAAACCCCTATGTTTAGAATGGTCACGGCGAGGACTAGAACTTGTTGGGTTCCTCCGCGAGAATGCTTCAACAGCCCCAGTGAATCTCTCTCGAAGCTCTTTCCCGACTGAAAGAAGCAAATGCACAAGTAATTATTGATAAAAAAAAAGATCGAGAAAAACACAGCCACTGTTGATAATAATTAATAGAAATGAAATGATATTCAGAGCTGTGCCAGCTGACATTTCTGTTACTATTTGTTAAAGTTAGTTTCAAAGGGTGTATGTTAAGCCCTTGGTTAGTGTAGGATAATAATCCTATATAACCTCTCGTTATCTTTCTGTTTTAATCAATCAAAACAGAATTCACAGAACATTATAGAATGCATATCTGCATTCAATCAAAACAGAATTCACAGAACATTATAGAATGCATATCTGCATTCACCATTTCTAAAATGGTATGATGGAACCTGGTTATCATATATCTCTGATCATGACAGAACCACCACCTCCATCACAATCGTCTTCAAAACAGGATCTCGTTACTTTAAAGTTGAAGATTTTCAAAAAGCTTGAGAAGAATTTCCTTGTTTGGTGCCAACAAATTAAGGGCAAGTTTGTTTTAGCTTTAAAAAAATATTTTTTTCTTTGTATTTTCAAAAATGATTTTTATGCAAACGTTTTTCAAAATAATAAAAGTTTTTTAAATTCATTTGTTATATAAATTGAAAGACTAATTTTGGCATCTTATAACATAAACGTACATTATTGAAGATCAAAACATAGTCAAAATCGCAATTTTTTCAAAAAGTTGTATTTCAAAAATGATTTTTATGAAAAACTATTTAAAATAGTTTTAAAATTAATTGATTTTTTGAAATTTTGATATCCAAAAAAAAATTCAATAAGATGATAAAATACTTAAACCGATGCGACTTGAAGAAGTATTGCTCATGAGATGCGACTTTTCATGGACAACAAGATCCAACTTTGATGTGGCTTCTATTAACCTCACACAGTCCAAAACCGAAAACCAATGCTCCTTCCATAGGCAAAGATCCATTAAATGCTCATCTAACTACTGGAAACTCAGATGGATCTGGTTCCTCCTTTCAATCCTCACTTTGTTGAGGCGTCTCGCATGGAAGAGGAGGTAGAGGACATGGCAGGAGACATTTTAGCAATATCCAGTATCAGATTTGCTTTAAATTTGGCCACACTGCTTCTACCTGTTATCATCGTTTTAATCAGCAATTTCAGGCACCTATAACTGCTGATTATCATGGCAATCCTCAAAGTCTTTCACAAGGATATCAAGGTTATTTTTCTCAAGCACGCCCATCTCATGGCTTTAAAACTCATTGGAATTATCTCCAAACCTAGCGTACTTATAGACCTCCCGTCCCTGTGTAACCTAATGCCATGCTAACCAACACTACCAATGCCTTTCCCAATACCAACTCAACCTGGTTCCCTGTTCCCTATGAAGGTCCTGACCAGATCTTTATAGAAAATGGTCAAGGTCTGACTATTCGTTCCTCTGATTCCACCTCCTTTTTATCTCCTTTAGACCTAATAGAAGTCTTGTGTTACATAATTTACTTCATGTTCCCTCTAACAAAGAAATTGATTAGTGTTGGTTGTTTTGCAATGAATAACTATGTTCTTTTCGATTTCATCTTGATAACGCTGTTGTCTCATCCCAGGTTACTACTAGTCAAGATCTTCTACAAGGAAGTGCTGGTAGTGATGGCATCTGAGTTTCCTAGTCTCCCGCTTCGTACCTTGTCAGTCAATCTACAGGTGCTGATCCTAGCTTTAGTTTTCCTTGAATGTGCTTGTTTTTCATTACTCCGTCCCTATAATACTCACAAGTTGTCTTTTCGTTCTCACAAGTGTCTACTTTTAGGATATTCCACACCTCATAAGGGTTACAAGTGTCTATCCCCATCAGGCAGAATTTACATCTCTAAGGATGTAATTTTCAATGAGCCTATATTTCCTTACCATGACCAACTTGTCTCTACCACTGTTCCATCTACTTCCAGAAATGGTTTCATCACTATCGGCTCAACTCCTTTAGTCGACACTCTCTTTCCAAATCCCATCGTCGCTGATTAACCTACCAATATCCCATCTCCTGTTGCTTCTCATTCTTCAATTCAAAATTCTTGACCGCCCAAGGTTTAGACATTGGGAATTAAAGGATGACAAATTTACTATCTTCTATGGCCAAAAGAGAGTATACCTGAGATTTTTTCTGGCCTCTGTACAGATGGCCCTGCATTCATAGCCGCCTTGCCACTGTCATGCTGTTATTAGAACAAATATAGTTAGCAAGTGACCTCTACTAGAAAGCAAAACGAAAACAAGCAAGGTATAAAAGCACTAACCCTCCCTCGAGAGCTTCCACTAATCTGCGGATACTTCAATATAGTCCAGTCAAAAATATAGTCAAATTGATAGCCTGCGTTTACAATGTTAAGATTAATTTGTGATTACTTAACACAATAGACTGCCAAACAAATATGTAGAATGCTAATGTACACATTAGAATGTATTGGATTGTGGACCTTCTCGAATAAATAGATCTCGAAAAAGCCTCTTTAAATAGGAGTAGTCGGGCTTGTCTTCAAACCGCAAAGATCGGCAGTAGTGGAAGTATGATCCGAACTCTGAGGGATATGATTTGCAAAGCACCTGTCACACAAGCACAAAAATTAATGAAATGAAACAAAAGTGACAAGACCAGGAATGGCTAGTTGAGAAATGAAATGGAAAAGGAATGGAAGAGGGCCCAAATGTACAAGTTGTGCTCAGTGTTCAAATAATGGCTACGGCGGAGTTTTACCATATAATTATTTTTATAAAATTGCTATTGTCCGGCTATGCGCTATTTAGTACAAAATGTTGTCAAATAGCGGCTATAGCACTGTTGTAGCACTGTTGCACAGCGGAATTTGAACAAACCACTATTTTTTGCAATCCACAATTGACAATACTGGTTATGCCAATTGTTAAGAAGCTCTTGGAGCATTTATTTGATCATAGCATCCAATTCAACAACAGAAGTATTCACATTCAAAAGCACAACTATTGTAGAACAAGCTCTCAAGTCCCGGCCTGGCTTCTAAACCTCAATAGTATCATATGATCAGATCCAACTACAGGTCAGGCCAGAGAAAATATCAAAATGTCTCCAAAAGCCTCATCAATCTAACTAATCAGTATACCTCTATGGAAGTTGTCATCTTCTTCTCACTGATTCTGTCATATTTTTGTTTTTTGGTACCCGCCTTCAGTCCCTGCCAAGGAAGACTGAAAATAAAGAGTACAATGCGAGGAGATTGTAAGAAGGGTATGGTAAATATATCCAAATCTAGATAGGAAAAAATACATTTGTGTACATCAAGTATCCAACCTTCCTCTTAAGAAGTACATGAGAACATAACCAAGAGATTCCAGATCATCCCTTCTGCTTTGTTCTGCCAACAAAATAAAGATTAAAAAAACGCATTATGATTACTGGTTGTCAATGCGAAAAAAGAAAAAAAAATGAATTGAATTGAATACCATAACATGTATAATATAACTCACCAATTCCAAGATGAGTGTTGACACTCGCATACCGAGCTGTGCCTGTAAGGTTCTTGTTTTCTCTGCACAAGAAAAAGAGCTTTTCGTAACTAAAGAAATATGAATTTACTCAATTAAAAAAATATAACTACAATGTAAATTAGAGTGAAAGAACATTTTTGTAGTGTATTTGGTGTTGGAAAGAGAAAACAGACAAGAGACAATAGAGACCTGAAACCATGTTATGGATGACAAGGCAAAATATTTATTTCAAACACTACCAAACTTACGGGTGCAGAATCTAACAGATGTCAATTTCAATTAGTCACAAGTATATGTGCATGCTTGCAAACGCGGCCACACTTAAGATAATTTACAGTAATCTCAATTATCACTATTGTTAGTAGAGTGAATGATACCGATACCACGTAATATAGGTAAACAGCATTCACTTGAAAACGTGGCAGAATACCTATGAAAGTGATGTGAATGCTCAAATAAAAGGAAGGCATGTGAAATTAATAAGGCAACAGCCGGTTGGTTCTGCCCCCAGATAATTTTTAAAACGTCTTAATATATCTTGAAATAGTAATCGTGACAAAATTTACCTGTACGGTATGTGCTTATGAGTCTGAAGATCTCTGAATTTTTTGGCGAGGCCGTAGTCAATGATGTAGACCTGAAATGAGGTATCCAGTATTGTAAAATATTTCACTGATAGAATTAAAAGTTCTATTTACAATGTTGCAACTACATGCTTTAAATAAGAGAGAATAGAAACCCTAATGGGTTTTGACTAATGGGCCTCATTACTAATACTACTAATTACTATTTACAGTCTAATATTTACAACACTCCCCCTCAAGCTGGTGAATGGATATCTATCATTCCCAGCTTGCAAGTAAGTTGTTTGAATCTTTCTGTTGGTAAGCCTTTTGTTAACACATCTGCGAGCTGATGCCCAGAAGGAACGTAAGATGTAGTTATCAGCCCACTATCCAACTTCTCTTTGATAAAATGTCGGTCAATCTCAATGTGTTTAGTTCTGTCATGTTGAACAGGATTATGAGCAATACTAATAGCCGATTTATTGTCACAAAACAATTTCATAGGGCCTTCACACTGTATCTTCAAGTCTTCTAGAACTTGTTTCATCCACAATAGTTCACAAATTCCTAGTGCCATAGCTCTAAATTCTGCCTCGGCGCTTGATCGAGCAACTACACTTTGCTTCTTACTCTTCCAAGCTACAAGGTTACCACACAGAAAAGTACAATAGCCTGACGTAGATCTTCTATCACTCACTGAGCCGGCATAATCCGCATCAGTGTAAGTCTTCATAGCTAAATTCTCACCTCTTTTAAACAAAAGTCCTCTCCCTGGAGTTGCTTTAAGATATTGTAGGACGCGGTCTACAGCCTGCAAATGTCTCACCCTCAGATCATGCATGAATTGGCTCACCACACTGACTGCATATGCTAAATCTGGTCTAGTGTGTGCCAAGTAAATCAATTTTCCCACTAATCTTTGATATTGACCCTTGTCAACTTTGTCACTTTCCTCCTCAAAGCTTATCCTGTGATTTTGTTCAATGGGAACACTTGCAGGTTTGCATCCAAGTTTGCCAGTTTCCTGCAAAAGATCAAGAACATACTTCCTTTGAGAGATAAAGATGCCTTGCTTTGAGTAGGCTACCTCAATTCCCAAGAAATACTTGAGTTGTCCAAGGTCTTTCATCTCAAACTCTGCCGATAATTTCTCTTTAAGCAAATGTCTCTCAGTCAAATCATCTCCTGTAACAATAATATCATCAACATAAACAAGAAGTACAGTCAATTTTCCTTCCTGTGAATGTTTAAAAAATAAAGTGTGGTCTCCTTGACTTTGCTTATAGCCCAAACACACCATTGCCTTTGTGAATCTTCCAAACCATGCCCGAGGGGACTGCTTTAGTCCATATAAGGCTTTCTTCAATTTACACACCTTGTTAGCTTCATTTGTTATGCCAACACCCGGTGGAATCTCCATATACACTTCTTCCTCTAAGTTTCCATGCAAGAATGCATTTTTAACATCAAACTGTTGCAATTCCCATCCACATGAAGCAGCAAGAGATAGTAAAATTCGAACAGTGTTCATTTTTGCCACTGGGGCAAATGTCTCCTCATAATCAATACCATATGTCTGAGTATAACCTTTTGCCACTAGTCTTGCCTTGTACCGATCAAGTGTGCCATCAGATTTATACTTTACGGTATAGATCCATCTGCATCCAACTGGCTTTTTGTCTCTTTGCCTTTCAATAATCTCCCAAGTACCATTTTTTTCAAGTGCTCTCATTTCCTCATCCATAGCTTGGACCCAATTTCTATTTTGCAATGCTTCTTCAACTGATAATGGGATTTTCACAGAATCAACAGCTGCAATAAAACTTTGATATTGTGTGGAAAGATGTTTAGTGGAGACATATTGAGAGATAGGGTGTCGATATAAGGAGGGACAAGATCTTTTATCCTTCCTCAAAGCAATGGGTAAATCAACTGGATTAGTGTCACAAGTATCAGAAATAGAACAATCATCATTTGAGGAATCATTTTCAGTACTTACCTCCGGTTCAGACGATTGAATTTGTTTCTGGAGAAGGTCAGATTTACTTCTTCTCTGATATACTAGAGTTGGTGCTGAAGGTGCTGATTCCTGTGGAACATAAGGCATTGAAGGACCAGGAACAATTACTGACTCAGATTCAGGTGTTGAACTAGGACTCAAACTCAAACTAGGTGACAACTCGGGTTCAAGAGAGGGAACACTGACAGGTGTTCTCGGGAGGCTAGGACCAAGGATCAGAAACTCGGACTCAGACTCTAAGTCACTCATGTTCTCCCCCTGAGACTGAGAATGAGTGAAGTATGACACATTTTCATGAAAGGTGACATCTTTGGAGACAAAGAATTTCCGACTCGGAGGATGATAACATTTGTACCCTCTTTTATTGGGTGCATAACCCAGAAAGATACATCTGACAGCACGGGGATCCAACTTGTTGCGATATTGTTTGTGAACATGAACAAAAGCAACACAACCAAACACGCGAGACTCAAGATTATGTAAGATAGGAACAGAGGGAAAACGTGAGAGCATAAATTGAGCAGGACTAATATTACCTAACACTCGAGATGGGACCCGATTAATCAGATAGGCAGCAGTAAGAACTGCCTCCCCCCAATAAGAGGTGGGAACAGACATTTGAAACAGGAGAGATCGAGCAACTTCAAGTAAATGACGGTTTTTTCTTTCTGCGACACCGTTTTGTTGTGGGGTGTCAACACATGTGAATTCATGAAGAATGCCATGTTTACTAGTGAAGTTGGAGAAGGTATGATTGACATATTCTTTACCATTGTCAGAACGAACTCTTTTTATACATTTCCCAAATTGTGTTTGTACCATATTATAAAATTGGATAAATATTTGTGGTACTTCGGATTTAGTATTCATCAAGAAAATCCAAGTTACCCGAGTACAATCATCAATAAATGAAACAAACCATTTTGCACCAAAAATATTAGAGGTAGGGGCAGGTCCCCAAACATCAGAATGAATCACATCAAAAGGTTCAGCACTTTTATTAAAACTGGAAGGAAAAGTTACACGATTGTGTTTTGCCAACTGACAAACATCACACTTAAAAGACTCAACAGAATGGTTTAAAAACAATGACGGAAACATAGACTTAATGATATAAAATGGAGGGTGACCGAGACGCTTGTGCTGAAGCCAAATGTGTGAGGCTGAAGAGGAAGACTGAGACTGGAGACAGGAGGACAACACCTTTGGATGGTCATCAGAGAAGTAGTATAACCCTTCCTTTTCCTTAGCAATTCCAATCGTCTTCCCCGTGGTAAGGTCCTGAAAAATACAATGGGACATAAAAAACGTTACTTTACAATTTAGATCACGGGTAAGCTTATGGATGGAAATCAAATTGTGGGAAAGTGTGGGAACATGAAGCACGGATTGCAATTGAAATGGAGGTTGCAAGTCAATATTTCCAGTGCCAACAACACAAGCCTGAGAGCCATCAGCAACAGTGATATAAGGAATACTCGAAGGTGTGGTATAAGAGCATAATAATGTGGAATCAAATGTCATATGATTAGTAGCACCAGAGTCAAGAATCCACGCATTCTTAGGGATATTACCACAAACAGTAAAAGATCGGGAACACAAACTCTTACCGGTAACTGCTAGAGACCCAGAACCAGAAGGCTTACTCATGGAGTCAAGCATAGACTTCAACCGTTCCACGTCATTCTGGCTGAAGGAGGAAAGATCAGTTCCCTCTTTTTCAAATCTGTCAGTATCATGGGCATGTGTGACAACATGTGCCTGATGCTGGTGCATGTTGCGAGAACTACCTCCTCGGCTAAGAACCTGTTCCCTTCCATGTAGTTTGAAACACCTATCCTTTGTATGCCCTGATCGGTTGCAATGCTCACAATAGAATTTGTCACGACCATTCTTAGATGATGACGATGGTGGTCCTTGTCTTGTTGTTTTTCTAGCTACTAGTGCTGACACATCCGGGGGCTGTGCATGAAGCATAGTTTGACGACGGGTCTCCTCACTACGAACAGTGTAAAAAACTTCATTAAGATCAGGAAATTTTTCCTTACCCAAAATCTGCACCCGAATGGGGTCAAATTCAGCATTAAGGCCGGCTAAGAAATCAAAGATCCTATCCCGCTCAACAACAGTATTCAAGGTGGCAGTATCCTTGCTGCACTCCATCTTCAAATTCTGATATTGATCCAACTCAATCCAAAAACCATTGAGAACTCCAAAGTAATCGTTGACCGAAAGACTTCCCTGCTTAGTGTTGAATATTTTCCTCTTTAAATCATAACAAGCAGACATATCTTGTTTCATGGAATAACTTCGACGTAGATAATCCCAAACTTCCTTTGCACTTGAGAGATACATGCAATTTCTACTAATTTCTGGAGATATGGAGTTCCAAAGCCAAGTAATAATAGCAGAATCATCTTTATCCCAGGAAGAGAAATTAGGAGCAGTAACCAGAGGAGGATTGCCTTCAATATGATCTAGCATGTCACAACATTTTAGAGTGTGTCTGATGAACTGAGACCATTGAAAATAATTTTTTCCGGTAAGCCAGTAACCTTTTTGAACGACAAAATCCTTAGCATTAAATGGGACTGGTGGATTTGTGGGAGGTGGAGGCGGTGGATTTGTGGGAGGTGGAGGCGGAGGCGGAGGTGGTTGTTGGTTAATAATCTCGGCCATTGAAGGGACAATCGAGAGGAACAAACAGCAGATATGTATTGAATCACAAAGAATACAAAGAAACCAAAAAACAAGCAGTAGGGTTGCAATAGAACTGCAATAGAATGAAAAAACAGCAATGATCCAAACACCCAAAAAAACTGCAAGGATGACCGGCAGTGAAACAAAAAAACACCGTTACAACGGCGGCTAGGGTTTATGCGGAAGCGAGACCCCCAAAAAACAGGAGCTCTGATACCATATTGTAAAATATTTCACTGATAGAATTAAAAGTTCTATTTACAATGTTGCAACTACATGCTTTAAATAAGAGAGAATAGAAACCCTAATGGGTTTTGACTAATGGGCCTCATTACTAATACTACTAATTACTATTTACAGTCTAATATTTACAACATCCAGCATGATATAGATAAAGTTAGAACCTAAAAGAACTGGAGTCTGCATGTTCAACTTCAACATTTCTTATCAGAATCTATCAATCATTATTTTTTAGTGGCAACAAAGAGGATTCCATTTAAATAGAATAGAAGAAAAAGATTGGGAAATGAAGACATGCTCCTAGAACATCCATCCAAAAGACGAGAAAGAGAGCCAGAGGAAGTGCTTTGACTCAAAATGTGGCCCAAGGCGAATCAATTTTGCCAGGTAAAAAACCACGAGTTTCAAGGAGGAAATGGCCATGGTAGGCTAAAATCCACTTCATGGTTTGTCATAGAAAAGACTCAAACCTTCACCTGACCTAACCAGTCTTAACCAACTAAGCATCAAACACGACCGGATAGAATAACCAAAACCTTCAAAAACAAAATGGCGGAATAAAGATAAAAAAGAGAAACATAAAAAATTTGAAAGAAATCATTTAACTAGATAATATACCTGATTTGCCTTACGTCCTAGGCCCATTAAAAAATTGTCTGGCTTTATGTCACGGTGAAGGAAACCTCTTGAATGCATATATTCAACTCTGTTAATCTGAACAATAATATTGACCAATTGAAACATTAGTATCACTGTATAAGGCCCTTAACTTCATAATAGTTTCCATTTTGACTTACTAATTGATCAGCAAGCATTAACACTGTCTTCAATGTTAACTTCCGGTTACAATAATTGAACAGATCTTCCAGACTGGGTCCAAGAAGATCGATCGCCATCACATTGTAGTCTCCCTCAACTCCAAACCACTTCAGGTGAGGCACCCCCGCTGCAAATAAAGAACCAAGTTGGATTACTCAAAAGGAAACTTCTCAATTGTTTTCTGAACCATTTTCAGTCGTTATTTTACTTTAAGGGCATTGTTTAAGACAAACGATTTTGATTCCAATGAGTTTAGACAATGGAAATCAATGAATTCATCAAGCTATCCTCCAACTTGAGAAAACAAACACACACGCAAACATAATGGATAAACCATTTTCATGTGGAAGTTTAGCCTTAGCCATTAGTCAATATTTTCACTACTGAAATCTGTAAAAAGAAATAGCCACGTTGACTTACTTCCTCCTTGGAGAAGCATATACAATTTTGATTCATAGTGAAGCTGCGGATGCTTGGTCTTCACAGGCTCCTGGAAAATTTTCAGGTGCAAGGCATTATGGTTAAAAATTAAAAACAGAATATCACAAGCAGACTAATATCATTAACTGATAGGAGAAACATGTGAAAACAAGGCATAAGAGCATGATGAACGACAAAAGATAAACTACAATGCAACAATGTTAACCACAATTTGCATAATCAAACTCAAGATATTAGTGAAATAATTCAATAACTCTGTCATTTCACCCATTCCACACAAAAAATAGGGTTAAAAACTTTATGAAAACCTAACATACCAGCTTGACAGCTACCTCCTCGCCAGTTTGTACATTGACAGCTGATACAAAAAAGAGAAACAATTTGTCAACAATATCAAACAATGCCACAAAAAGGAACATTAAAATCAATATTTCAAAGTAATAAAAACAAAAAAACATGAAACAAACCTATATAAAGCTCCCCAAAAGACCCACTTCCAATTTTCCTTCCAAGTTTAAACTTGCCAGCAATCACATGATCCATCGTGAATTAACCCTTCAACCTATATCCACTAACTACAACAACCCTTTTCTTCTCAGATTTGTTTTTGTTCCCAATTCAGCACCTAAGGGGTCAAAAGTCCCAAACTTTTTCCGATAATACACTCAAATCCAATGAGATTTTCAAACCTATTCACCCGATTCGTGTGAAACACTAACAAGGTACAAATAGGGCAAATCAAAAAGGAGCAAAATTTACAGAAATTGCAACAACCCTCAAAAAAATAAAGATGAAAAGTTTATTAATATTTAAAATAACAATACAACACAATCTTCTCTAACTACATTACTTTGAGAGAAAGGAGCGAAATCAATCAATCCAGAGAGCCGATTGAAGCCCTAATTTTCAGAGAACTTGACCGCATTGACCCCAGAAAATAAAATGCTAATGGGTATCAGCAACAAGACAAAAAAAAAAAAAAAATAAACTTTCTTTTATGAAAATTAAAAATAAATAAAAAAATCTATATGTGTATGAAGGAAATGGAGAGATTGAAGAGAAGGAGGGTATGGTTAACCAACCAGGTATGAAGAACAAGAGTAATTCCACAAGTCAAAAAAGTTTGGAGTTTTTAGAGAGAGAAAGAGAGATGTGAAGGGAAAATCTGGCAGGAGATTATAGTAATAGTTGGTGTGTTTTGTTTTATTTTATTTTATTTCTCTACATTCATCTATTAGAGATATGTATTTAGTTTCACACTTTTAGTATAGGAAAGTCAAAAGTGATTTTAATACTTATATAAAGATAAAGATGTGTTGAAGTTAATTTGGCAAAACCTCTCATTGAGGGGAAAAGATATAAGATTAAGTAGTAAGGTTTACACTTTTTGTGATTTTGTGTTTAACATGTTATCGATTTAGCAACTATAGTGAAGGGTTTTAGAAATATTTAAAAGAGACTAAGGAAGAAGGGGATGTGAATGGCAGTCATTGATTTAGCCAGTATAGAGAAGGGTGTCTAGAAATATTTAAAAGAGACTAAGGAAGAAAGGAATCTGAATGGTAGTTAATTAGGGTTAGCGGCAAATATAAGAGGGGCTAGTACATGAAGAGATTAGGAGGTCTTCTAAAAAGTGGTGCAAAAACAATGTTGAGAAAGAAGGGTGGCTAACAACAAGAGAAACATTGTGTCGGCGAAAATTAATGATGGTCAATAGCGCACGATTTGTTTCCTCAAATGAGGAGATACTAGAGGTTAACACATCAATTAGTTTGGATTTGGTCAACATTGTTGATGTTAATGCGGTTGTGGCCAATTATGACGAAGATAACGAAGATAGAATAGAGGATATTAGGAGAGTAATATCAGAGAATAATGAGGAAATGGTTGTAAAGAATGTAAAATCAACATTTATAGGAAACACAAAAAACTGAAATAGTATTAAAGTTGACACGAGAAAATCAAAAGGTGTAATAAGTCGGGAAAAGAACAACAAGGGGAACAAGCTGGCAACATGTGGCAATATTATTTTTAAAGGGAAAATAAATGTGCACAACAAAAAAGACAACAAATCAATCTAGGAAAAGATGACGTGTCAAAAATTGTGAGGATCAGTCAAAAGCAAAAAGTCAACCAAAAAGAACATAATGATTATTCGAGTAGGAGGAGTACAGGAAGTAACAAACATGGGGTAGATCATGAGGGGTCAAACAAAGAGGTATTGTTCGTAAGTGTTTTTAGCAAACAATCACTAGTTTAGTTCACTTGTGAGATTGACTCGAAAAATCTTGAAAGCAATATATGGAAAACAAGTGTACAAGAAAGAGTGTGTGTGAGGTAATTGTGAATATCTGTATTAAGACAAAATGAACACTATTATAAATGTGCATAAAAAATTTTGTTGATGAAGAAAAAAAAAACATATTTTGGAGATGGCATTTACGGCGAAAATTGGAAGTTTTAGAAAGTCGGACGAAAAGTCGAGAAAAAAAATCAGCCGATGAATAGTGTCGTCTGTACGGATGAATAGTGACGTTCGTACGATGAGTAGTGTTTTTTGAATTTTCGGGCTTTTTTCGATTCGGTCTATGGATCCATGTGATTTTGGGCTTTGTTTATTGGATATTTGCTATTATGAATATGTATCTCTTATATGTTTGGTGCGTGACAATCTTAGAGTTTTCACCAACAAGAGAGACCAAGGGTTTAAAAGTATAGCATAAGGTTTCAGCTATGCACAAGGAAAACCTTGGATTACACCTTGGGTTTGAGTGATTCATATATTGAGAGTTGGAGAGGTAGGGAAACACTTGGATAGAAAATAAGGTTGTTCTTGGGCGCTTCAGGGTTGTTCTTGGGCGCCTGATGGCGAAGGCTATTTTCTTGTAACTTATCTGTAATCTCTTGTAACAACTTTTTGAGTATAGTGAATTGGAGAGCTGCTATCTCCCCTAGAGTAGATCGTTTGATCGAATTGGGTAAACAAACCTTCGGTTTTTTCTTACCTTATTCTGTTATATTATTTGTGTATGGATTTTTATTACTGAAGACCATTTATTTTGGTTGTTATTGTTTTTTGCCTCACAAATTAATATTGAATTTTGTCGTAATTCACAAAAAGATTCACAACAAGTGGTGCGGTGAGCGTAGAGCAAAGAGATATTGTTGACAAGTGAGCACCATGGTTAGTAGATGACAGATCGAGAAATTTTTCGGTAACAACGACTTCGGGTTGTGGAAAATTAAGGTGCAAGCAAATTTAATTCAAGAGAAGTGTATTGATGCTTTCAAGAGTGAAGCATTTATGTCTGCAAGGCTTACACAGATACAGAAGACCGATATGGTAGATAAGGTCAGGAGTGTCATTATCTTATGCATCGGGGATAAAGTTCTAAGAGAAGTCGCCAAGGAGCAAACCGTGGTCGCTATGTGGGCAAAACTTAAATCATTGTATATGATAAAGTCTTTGGCTCACAAGTTCTATCTGAAACAACAACTTTATTCATTCCTAATGGTGGATAACAAATCCAAAATTGAGTAGCTCATAGAATTTCACAAGATTATCGATGACCTTGAGAATATTGAAGTGAAGATTGATGATGAGGACAAGGCTTTGCTCCTGTTGAGTTTATTACCTAGATCCTTTGAGCACTTAAGTATGTCCTTCTTTATGATAAGGAAGGTACTATTACTTTGGATGAAGTCCAGACGGCGGTGAAATCCAAAGAATTTTCAACGTCGAAAGATTTGAAGATTGAAGATAGTGGTGAAGGCTTAAATGTGTCAAGAGGAGGAGGTGAGTGTAAATGGATGTCAAAATCAAAGAGGTCTGACAAGTCAAAGGTAAAATATTTAATTGTCAGAAAATCGGTCACTTTAAAAGGGATTGTTCTGAAAGAAAAGTTAGTGAAGATTTTGTTCAAGTTGTAGTTGCATTGGATGAGGAAAGTTATGAGGATGTTGAAGCACTAGTAGTATCGAGTTTAGAAATTGCAGATAGTTGGATCATTGACTCAAGTTGCTCTTATCACATGTGTCGAAGAATAGAATACTTTGAAGCTTTGAAGATGGTGCAAGGTGGAGTAGTTCGCCTTGGTAATAATAAGGCATGCAAGGTTCATGGTGTTTGTATGGTCATATTTAAAATGTTTAATGATCGTGAACTTCTTATTCATAGTGTGAGGTATGTTCCAGAACTCAAGCGAAATTTGTTATCTATAGGTATGTTTGATGATCTAGGCTATTGTACTAGAGTTGAGTGTGGAGTGTTGAAGACTTCGCGTGATGAATTGATTATTGCTAAAAGGTCTAAAATATGTGGTATGTATATTTTATAAGTGTTGCGATGAAATTTGGATGTCAAGCTATTGATTAACTTGAATCTTAATTCATTTACAACCGGTCTTTGATTTATCCGAAGGAAAGGTTAAAGAAAGGAAAAACCTAAAAGGGAGAGATCTAAGGTTCGGGGGTTGGTTAAATTTAGGGAAGGTATTAGCACCCTAAACTTCCGTAGTACTCTACGGGAACCTTTTGTTTATTTTTTTTTTATTTATTTCATTAATTATTTTGCTTTAGGGTATATACAAAGGATTGAAAATTAAAAAAGACCTAGGGGTTAATTCTAAGTTTACTCGGCAAGACATCGCATCTTGTGCCTACATATCCTTACGGGAATGGAATCAGAGTAACTGTAGTTCCCCTCAAAAGGGAGGTTAGAGACTTCTTGACTGTGGTCAAGGTCTCAAGAGGAATAAACGCATCTTAAGGACACACTTACATGGAGTCTTAAACTCCGATCTCTATGTTATAAATTGTTAAGTGCATTAGGGTTAGGTTAGGGATTCCGCGGCGGGAAACCCTAAAATGAGTGCGGCGACTCTTTGACCTAAAGCTAGGGGTAGTTTTGTAATTTTGTCCACGGCGAGACATTTGTGAAAAGTTAGGGTTTGTAAGGGTTTGAAGTTTTGAGGACTATTGGCGTGGCGGCCAAACGGCTAGACCTAATCCTTCGGAGGAATGCAATGGGACAAATTAACGATGCAAATGCGCGAATTTAAACCATACAAACAGCAGAAATTAAAGTGCGGAAAGGTAAACGCGATAATTTGTTCGCGAAGTTACAAATGAGAAACAGATACAATTATAATACAACTTGAATTGAAAAACACATTAAAATAGCTAATAGCAACGTAACAAGCTGCACATTGAATACACAAGGTTAGTAGACAGAGTCAGACAGTAATCAGACGAGTTATGAAACGGAAGTGCGAAAGTTATAGATATTCTTTGTTGTTTATTTGTGATATATAAAAAAGCTTTTGATTTAAGTTAAAAAAAAGAGGTTTTAATATTATTAAAAAAACTTTTCAAAAATAGTCTTAATTTAATTATCTAACAAAAAGGTTTTATTTTAAAAAAAAAGGTTTAATGTTATTATTATATATTTTTTAAAAAACGGTTCTAGTTATTATTTTAAAAAAAAGATTTTAGTTATTATTTTAAATTTATCTAAAAAAAAGTTTTTCTTAAAAATAATAGGT